GTCCTATCCCCACACCGATTGCTCAGGCGATCTTGCTGTTCTTGCTAATGGATTTTTATCGCTAACGTGCCAGTTCATGAATTTCGGGAACATATTTTATGGTGCACTATATCAAAAAAAGGCCTGTTCACTTGCCAAATCCCTGGCCAAATTTCTGAAAGTGTCCTCCTTTGACGAAGTTCCCCATGCGCAGTATAAAAATATAACATCAGCATTTATTAAATAATACTAATCTAAAAGGCACGTGTAGTAAAAATAAAATAAGAAAAGGAAAACGAATGTTTTGAATGCGTAATATTAATATCATTACCCTAAGAATCGACTAAAAATAATGACAAATATAAAGATAGTTTGATGTAAAGGATAGCAAATAATTACTGAAGAGGAATGTTTCAGTTCATTAAGTCGTATACATTCTTAATCATTTACCAAACTGGACCTCGTCAATACGATGGTTGTGGTAATGCATGAATATATAGACAGTATTATGGAAATGAAAACTTGCAAAATTTAGAGCTTATGAAGCGCAGAAACTGAAAAAGCGAGAAGGAAGCAAAATGTAAGAAATGTAATATATAAAAACAAAATTAGTAATAATAAGTAAATATAATATAAGACAGATCTAGAGGAATGAGGAATAAGGACGGATGATATGTATCGGGGGTGTATTTCGGTTCCGAAGTTCGGTGCCTGCCATATGCAACGGTTTTCCAGATCATGGCGTTCCGAGGAGTGGTCGTTGGTCCCGTAGAAGCACTACTTACCCTCCTAATCGTCTTAGCTCTGAGCAGATACCTAGCTTCAATTTCTCCAGCCAGTTATGTTGAGTGAGGGAGAGACTTGACGACCTCAGCTCGACAGACCAATTGGCCCAAGGTCTATCGGTACTGCATGCGCTGGAGCGACGGTTCGTTGTGTTTGCGAAGCAGCAGCGATGGCCCCTCGCATTGCCTTCGCCTTGTTATTTTTTATTTGTATCTGACCGTCGGCTTGCAGCACGAACCAAATTGCCTGGTGTTCTGGCAGCCTCCCGCTGGGGGAAAACCCGAACGGAACGCTCCGCTGCCCGCTCGTTCATCCTTAGACAAAGGACTCGGGAAGTGCGAGGGCAGCCTCACCCCTCTCCCTCCTTCTTTTCTCCCCTCCTTTGCCCCCCATCCCTACCCCAACTTGCACTTTTGTGCAGCTGTTGCTCGCCTAGAAATTAGCAAGAATGTGTGGAAGAATGCTTGTTTGGGGCATTCCACTCCACGACGGCCATTTGCATTTCCGTGCATCCAGTGCGTCCAGCAACAGCAGCAGCAAGCCATCTCATACATTTATTCGCTGGTATTCGTTGCTCGGTGGTGCGAGATCCATTCATCTCTCCTCGCTACGTCTCCACGTGTACGTTGCGAGCAGGTGACGGTGCCAGAGTTGATTGCGCGGTTCTGCTCGTATTGCGTGTTATGTGCATTTCCGTGTAGTATTTCTCAGCGATTATTATGGGATCGTCGTAGTGCCATCGCGGTGTTCCGCCTGGAGCCGGCGAATGTTTTCCAGATGGTGGTGAGGTATCCGGACTTAACTGGCTTACAGAGGGGAGATCGGGCATGAGAGGATGAGACAGGGAGATAACTGAAAATTTTATGCAAAGCACGCCACTTCCCCGGGCATGTTCACAGATCACTTTCATCGAATTGCAAATACTGCTTTGGAGTGGTACCGCACCTTCTTTTCTGCATCTGAATTTAGCGCTCCCAGCAGCTAGATTTGCCGCTTTCCATAGCACTGACCCGAATCTGGTACCTCTCATTTGATACGTTGATTTCCTTTTTCCTAAGTGTTAGTTCCAGCGCTGTCTTTTATGTGAGGCACTGTTTGAAGCCTAGCTTTTCGTTAGGTTGCTTGCCTGGTCCTATTTCCCCCCTGTAAAAATAACCGTTGTTTTTAATTCCCACTGTGCCAAGTAGTCGTTCGGTCCTGTTGATCGGAGGCTCGAAGGGAGGGAGCGTGCTACTGGTAGCTGCATATAGCTAGCTTGCCGGAGCAGCGCATGTTCTTTTAGTAATTCATTGGTGGCATGCTGGTTTCCGAGCAACAGTAGCAGGGAAAAAGTTTGTTAGTAAATTCAGTTCCACAGTGATTATGCACTTTGTACGTTATCAGATACATCGCGTGAAGCACGAGGTGCTATAGCTACACTTAGCCTATGTCTATAAGGAGCCTCATGCTGCTCGTGTATGAGCAGTCGTGGTGCCGTTTTACGAGAATTCGAGTTCTGGATCAACAGTCTCCCTCCCCGTCCCCCCCCCCCCTTGTTATCACTAGTCTGGACGGCTGATTCATCGTGGACACTCGGAATGCTTGCCCAGAAATGCAGATCTGTATTCTGATTGTGCTCGAAAGGCCTTCGTTTCGTGCGCTGCTTCATTTCATCGGGTCGAACAGAATTGGAGATTTATGCTGGTCAGTACAGCAGCTTGCTCAAATAGCCAAAAACTCCCTTCGTATACATTCTTAGTAAAAGGCGAAGACACTCGGAAGTAAGGTGAGTGAGAGTAAATGCCAGCAGTAACCACCAGCTAGGAAGGCTATCAATGACTCCCTCTTTCGAAAGTTGCTTGCAAACAAGTCGATGGCGGGTTGATTCCCTGACAAAATGTCAGTACCGATTTACCATCGAAACGAATAGGAGAGAAGCAGTTTGTCCCCACTTCTGATGTAATGCTTGTAAAAAATCGTGCTGTCATTTGAGATTTTTGATAAAACGTGTTGAGAAAGCTTTTTTTTCCTCATTAAACTTAGAAATGGAAACTGCTGGGGCAGTTGGTTTGAGTATTGCATGTATTGTTGCTGGGATGCTTTCTCAAGTTGCTATGCTTTGCTATGATGGGCCCTTTGATTCTGACCTCCGCCTGTTCGATGTATGTGCGACCTCTTCGATGTATCCGGTCATAGTGGTCATTTATTTTCTCGGTACCACTCACTAGTGAGCGATTACCTTCAGTTTTCAGTTTCTGGTATTCAAATATTCAACAAATAGTTGAAAACCATTATCAGTAGCGAGTGTTCACGAATTGCCAATCTGAATGGGAATTTCGGGACTACATAGTAAAATCAACGAGAACGCAGTGAACTTTTTACTTACTACACACATCCGTGGGAACTCGCATTCCGCATGCTTTCGTTACGTTAGGGGCGAAGCATAAACAAGACAACGTGTGCTTATCAGCAGAGCCCAGTGATAGCTGCTTATCAGTTTCGCGACAGTCTCATCGTGGTAGTGCTCTTAGTGACGCCTGTATAGCATTTAGCAGAAGGGGCAATTGGTCATCTTCTGGCAAACTCTTCAAATTGCAATTTTCATTGATCTGTTATAAATATAAGATCATTAGGAACTGAATTTTGAAATGTCATGAAAAAATAAGTCTGTATGCAGCCTGTATTTCATTCCTTAGCTGTAAACATAGATGGAGCAGCGAACCCAATCGAAAGCGGGAATCATCAGTATAGCTTCCCACCCGGCATGTAGGAAACAAGCTTATTATTTAAATACGTAATACTAGAGTAGGAAGAAACTATAGAAGAATAAGAAGCTTTTAAAATTCCTGTTATTTACTGAGTATCGGTGCGCGAAAAATTTGTGCATAAATATAGGGGCTAGTAAGAGTAATTTCATTTTCACAAAGTTGCATCTTTTGAAGTGCTGTGGAATCCGTTGCGCTGTTGGCCCTGTAGTCCCGTCATTACTGTGCCTAATAGCAGGTCT